CCCTCAACCTGGCTTTCTAAAGAGACAACAAAGAACTTCGGAAGGCCAGGCGCGGTGGCTCAAGCCTGTAATCCCAGCACTTTGGGAGGCCCAGACGGGCGGATCACGAGGTCAGGAGATGGAGACCATCCTGGCTAACAAGGTGAAACCCCGTCTCTACTAAAAAATACAAAAAACTAGCTGGGCGAGGTGGCGGGCGCCTGTAGTCCCAGCTACTCGGAGGCTGAGGCAGGAGAATGGCCTAAACCCGGGAGGCGGAGCTTGCAGTGAGCTGAGTTCCAGCCATTGCACTCCAGCCCGGGCGACAGAGCGAGACTCCGTCTCAAAAAAAAAAACCGCCACAGGCAGTGTACATGGAATCCAGAAGACCAGGGCAGCAGCCTCTGCGACCGTGCATCTCCGTGGAACCAGAGGGAACTTCCAGAAAGCAATCAGCCTCCAAAAACATCTAAGACCCACCCCTGAGGAAAAGAAACAGCAAGATAGAAAGAAGATCCCGGATGAAGAGACGGCGGGACTACAATAAGGGAATATTTCATAAACTAACCAAGCCAAAGCAGAATGAACTCTGTTTTATCAGCAGAAAAGAGCAGAACTGGCAGGCTGGAAAGTTGAATCTGTAAGGCTGACTTGGCAGAGACACTTGCCAGAACGTGAAAGAGAAAGAAAAATACATTAAATGTTGAGGGACATTATCATTACTATTATTATTATTATTATTATTATTATTATTATTTTGAGACATTGTCTCACTCTGTTGCCCAGGCTGGAGTGCAGTGGTACGATCTCGGCTCACTGCAACCTCCACCTCCCAGGTTCCAGCGATTCTCCTGCCTCAGCCTCCCTAGTAGCTGGGATTACAGGCATGTACCACCATGTCCAACTCATTTTTGTATTTTCAGTAGAGAGAGGGTTTCACCATGTTGGTCAAGTTGGATTTGAATTTCTGACCTCAAGTGATCCGCCCACCTCGGCCTACCAAAGTGCTGGGATAACAGGCGTGAGCCACCACATCCAGCCTGAGGGAGAAGATTATTAATACAAAGAGAAAAGGAAGGCAACTTATGCCTTCAAAGCCATTCCTGGCTGGGCACAGCGGCTCACACCTGTAATTCCAGCACTTTGGGAGGCCGAGGCGGGTGGATCATGAGGTCAGGAGATTAGGACCATCCTGGCTAACATGGTGAAACCCCGTCTCTACTAAAAATACAAAAAATTAGCCCGGCATGGTGGCGGGTGCCTGCAGTCCCAGCCTGGGCAATAGAGCAAGACTCGGTCGCAAAAGAAAAAAAAACAAAAAAAGTACTCCATAAATTTCTACTTTTTTTTTTTTTCTTTTTGAGATTGAATCTGTCACCCAGGCTGGAGTGCAGGGTCATGATCTTGGCTCACTGCAACCTCTGCCTCCCGGGTTCAAGCGATTCTTGTGCCTCAGCCTCCCAAGTAACTGGGATTGCTGGCGCTTGCTACTGTGCCCGGCCTAATTTTTGTATTTTTAGTAGAGACGGGGTTTCACCATGTTGGCCAGGCTGGTCCCAACTCCCAACCACAAGTGATCCACCCGCCTCGGCCTCCCAAAGTGCTGGGATAACAGGCATGAGCCTCTGTACCTGGCCAGCAATGTTAAAAGTAGGATTTAGCAGGAAAAAAAGAAATAAGGTTTTGAAACAAGAAACAGTCAGTAGACAAATGTCATCTTAACCTTGGCACCCGGCTAAAATCTTTCCTTGCCAACTCTCCTGTACCACACTTGGCATTCAATTTCTTTTCAGTCTTTTATAGAGTTAGACCTTTTACTCACTTGAAGAATAGACATATTTTCAAGAGTGAGGGTGATTTATCCCATTCTCATACACTAGTTATTTGCCTTTGTGAATAGAAAACGATGACTCAATATTTTATCAAAACATGGGATTATAAAAATACTGGGAGTACCAGTCTGAAATTTAAAAGATTACATTTTCTTTTTTTTTTTTTTTTTTTGAGACGGAGTCTCGCTCTGTCGCCCAGGCTGGAGCGCAGTGGCCGGATCTCAGCTCACTGCAAGCTCCGCCTCCCGGGTTCACGCCATTCTCCGGCCTCAGCCTCCCGAGTAGCTGGGACTACAGGCGCCCGCCACCTCGCCCGGCTAGTTTTTTTTTGTATTTCTTAATAGAGACGGGGTTTCACCGTGTTAGCCAGGATGGTCTCGATCTCCTGACCTCGTGATCCGCCCGTCTCGGCCTCCCAAAGTGCTGGGATTACAGGCTTGAGCCACCGCGCCCGGCCTAAAAGATTACATTTTCTAAACTCTGGGAAGTTTACTTTAGGCAGAAACATAATTAGAATAGAACTTCCTTTGATATGTCACTTGATTTTCAATAAAAATTATTTCATGCAATGCAAAAAATACAATGCATCATCCTGTAACAATATCTTTTTTTTTGGGGGGGGGACAGAGTCTCGTGCTGTTGCCCAGGCTGGAGTTCAGTGGCCGGATCTCAGCTCACTGCAAGTTCCGCCTCCCGGGTTTACGCCATGCTCCTGCCTCAAGCCTCCCGAGTAGCTGGGACTACAGACGCCCGCCACCTCGCCCAGCTAGTTTTTTTGTTTTGTATTTTTTAGTAGAGACGGGGTTTCACCTTGTTAGCCAGGATGGTCTCAATCTCCTGACCTCGTGATCCACCCGTCTCGACCTCCCAAAGAACAATATCTTTACATCTAAGTCCTGATCTGAAATGCCAAATGACAACAACAACAAAACCTTTTTAAGTTGTTTTGGAGACGAAGTCTCGCTATGTTGGCCAGGCTGGCCTCCAACTCCTGGGCTTATGTGATCCTCCTGTTTGGGCATCCCATGAGTAACTGAGACCACAGGCATGCACACCACATCCATGACCTTGTGGATGACCCCATCCAGCTCACCTCCCTTTTAATACATTTCAAGGTCTTATTTTAACCTCTACTGCTCCGCAGCAATAACTCAAGACCCAACCTGAGAACTAAGAACACAATAAACAAATGCCAAGGTCTGGATCAATTTTTCAACCGAACACACTTAAGCTGCTCTTTGTTGGCATCAGCTGTGGTACAAGAGACAAATTTGAGCAATCCAGAAAGGTAGCCTGAAATCACCAGTATCACCTGCTGCAACTTGAAACCTTCTGTTCTAATGATGGTATATAAGCTCTGCTGCACCTTTATTATTGTTAAAATATTTGCAACTTACAGAATTCTCTGCACAAACCGATTTGGTTGTAAAGCACCTGACTCGCGGCAAAATGTTGCTAACGAAACAGGCAGTGTGTCCACAGATATCTGAAACTGAAGAATCATCAAATTGTTGTGGTCACAGCAATTACAAAGCATGAAAAGAAGATCACAATTTGAAGGAAACAAGTCTGAACAAGAGTAATTCCTCAGCAGTCTTAGGGGAGAAGAGCAGGTTTCTATTACACATAGAATTTGTTACCGCATAGTATATTAGTTTCAACAGAAAAAAGTTAATGCAAACATAAATCATCAAGCTTAACCTTATTTTTTAAACGAAGCTAAAACAAACATATACAAAGCATAGTGTCCTCCTTGATATTTCAACTTAATTGTTACCATCTGCCCTTTCACTGCAGAAACTGTCAACACATTCCACGGGAAGAAACATCGGTGGAAAACAAGCATGTTTCTGCTTTTAACTTCTTTGTTTCTCCTACCAAGTCACCCTTTTCTGATTGGCCCCTGCTGAGGACAACATGCCGCCCCTTCACTACTGAAAGCAATGTTCCTTTGTTTTTCCAGGTCCTTTCCAATGTGCCTTTGATTACTGGGCTCTTTCTGTTCCTTCTTTGGTTCTCTGATGCCCGGTGATCCAGTTCAGCATGCCAAGCGACCTGTCTGGCCAGTCCTCAGAATCACTTTTCACCTTTCTCTTTTATCCCCTGTAACCGACGTCCATCCTCCCCTTTTCCTGTCTCTCCCATTCTCCATCACCATTGCCACCAGCCTCCTCCCTCGGTGCCTCTCATTCGCTGCAACAACTCTCAGGTACCTTCCGCCCTCCTGATGTTGCCCTGCAGAACACGCAGACTTTCGGCATGGTGTTTGCTTGGCAAAGAGCACACACTCAGACTCCAGTTCCTACTGCTTCAGAGGCAAGCTCTTGTGAGTGGCTTTTAAGACTCTGCCAACTAGGCGCAGTGGCTCACGTCTATAATCCCAGCCCTTTGGGAGGCCAAGGCAGGTGGATCACCTGAGGTCAGGAGTTCAAGACCAGCCTGCCCAACATGGTGAAACCCCATCTCTACTAAACATACAAAAATTAGCCGGGCGTGGTGGCAGACACCTGCAATCCCAGCTACTCGGGAGGCTGAGGCAGGAGAATCGCTTTGAACCCGGAGGCAGAGGTTGCAGTGAGCCGAGATCACGCCATTGCACTCTAGCCTGGGTGACAGAGTGAAACTCCGTCTCAAAAAAAAAAAAAAAAAAAAAGACTCTGCCCTCCCAGGACAAGGCTCCCAGCAGGCAGGAGAGGACTGAAGATTCAGAGGGAGGCCTGGGGTCCCGGGGGACCTGAGTTGCCATCTTCACTCTGTTCTTATTGATATGACCATGGACAAACCATCTTGTGTCTCTAATCCTCCACTTTCTCAACTGTAAAATGAGGATGAAAGTAGTAGCTACCCCATACAATTGTTTTAATCTTTTAATAAAACATTAAAAGAATATTCCATCTGTGACAATATTTAGAAGGGGTTTTCAAATCTCAGGGTCTCTGATGACTCCCATTCACGCCAGCCTAGCAATCCTCCCTTCTCCGAAGTTCTGTGATGTCCTTGTGCACCGTCTCCCCCAGCAGACGGACTCACCCCTCTAGTGTTTTCACAGAGCTCAGGGCCAGTTCATTCTTGCTTTGAACAACAGGAGTCTAAGCCAAGTCGGTTCTTCATTGTTTTCAAAATGGGGAGTGCAAAAACACCAATTCCATGTTAAAACTGGTCTTAAAACCCCTAACACAAAGTTATTACCATAAACGTAGATTCAGTCTGTTACTAATGGAAATTAGTAACATGAATGTTCTGGAAGTCGTCTTGAGCCACTCAGCCTGCCTCTCTGAGCCCCCAGGGACCTTGGCAGCTTGGCACTCAGTAGTTCTCCAAGAGAAACCTTTCCCTGAAGACAGAAACTGTATCTGAAATGTCCCCTGGAACCTCTCTACACAAGGTCAGGGCCAGCACCTGCCACAGGCCTCTTGTTCTGCAGCAACCCCTGAGTTGTTGGTTGGTTTTGGTCTTTGGTACCCTAGCACTTCCTCTTTCTTGATTTTAAAAAACGATTTTCCTCACCCTGCTCCCGCCACGGATCTACTTTTTCTTGAGAAATGAGCCTGAAATGAAGGAAGAAGCAGGGGAGACACTGATTGGAGTCAAAAACCTTTTCTAGGTCCCCATATGTGCGACAGTTATGAATGTCAAGATTCTAAAGTTTTATACAGTCTCATCTTTGTTTTGGTCCTACAAGGAGGAGGACAGCCCAGACTGGGTAAAGTTGGAGAGAGGACAGAGGCTCTCTCCCCTCCCGACTTCTCCTGTTAATGCACTCATAGTAATGCGATGACCTGAGGTATTTTGAAAACCACCCTCTTCAAAATAAGGAAGCTGGGGTTTTAGAAGTCGTATTTCATGTACTTAGAGGGTAAAGTTGCAGTGCCGGGGACACAGTGCTCGCTAGGGCAGAGATTTCAACACTGTCAGCTTCCTGGGAGATTGCCGCAGACCTTGTCCTCTTGTTTTGATTTTTTGTTTACAGTTGATTGTTAGAAGAAGACAAAACGCTGAGAAATGTAACACCCTGTCCAGCAATGTTTATCATTAGACTTCAAATACATATGGTTGATTGAAATGGGGAAGAAGATCCTGAGGCCTTTCTAGAGATGATTTGGAATTGCCCCCTATGCTGCCAGGGCAGCTCGCAGTAAAAGGAAAAAAAAAAAGGCAAGGAAAAGCCTGAAGGACAATGGCTTCAGCAAACCAAAGGCACATGAGAAGAGAAGGCTAATTCTGCCACCGTCCGTGTGACTTGGCACGCTGTGAGCGAAATGGACGGGATGCAGTTCAAAAGCAAAGAAATCGGGCTGAACCACTTCACCCCTCTGGCTAGATGACTCAAATACAGTAAGTCTTGCTAAGGGACAGGACACTTAAGTAGATGAACGCCAGGGTGTGCGTTAAACACAACCTTCCCGATTTAGTGGGGAGAAACCCCAGCCACGATGCCCACACTGTATAAGTGCCTCCCACAGTCTTTGTCCCTGGAGCTCTCACAAATCTGTGACAATATTTAGAAGTGGTTTTCAAAATCTCCGGGTCTCTGATGACTCCCATTCACGCCAGCCTAGCATTCCTCCCTTCTCCAAAGTTCTGTGATGTCCTTGTGCACCGTCTCCCCCAGCAGACGGACTCACCCCTCTAGTGTTTTCACGGAGCTCATGGCCAGTTCATTCTTGCTCTGAACAACGGGAGTCTAAGCCAAGTCAGTTCTTTATCGTTTTCAGAATGGGTAGTGCAAAAACACCAATTCCATGTTAAAACTGGTCTTAAAACCCCTAACACAAATTTATTACTATAAACGTAGGATCAGTCTGTTACTAATGGAAAGCATGTCCATTTCTTTACCTGAGTATCAAAGACAGGTCAGCTTGCCTCCTTCAAAAAGGTGGTATTTAAAGCCTCAAAGGATTACTCCAATGTTCCCTACATTATAATTTACTCCACTGGTACTGAAGGAGATAAATTAAGTGCTAAGAAAATGACAGCACTTAGTGAAGAGATCCAAATGAATCTGAACTCCTGGGTTAGCCCATCTTCAGACTTAACAAACTTTTGTTGTTTAAACAGGTTCTCACTCTGTTGCCCAGGTTGGAGTACAGTGGTACGATCACAGCTCACTGCAGCCTCGACCTCCCAGGTTCAAGTGATCCTCTCATCTCAGCCTCCCAAGTAGCTGGGACTACAGGCATGCACCACCACACTTGGCTAATTCTTGTATTTTTTGTAGAGACAGAGTCTCACTACATTGCCCAGGCTGGACTCAAACTCCTGGGCTCCAGCAATCCACCCACCTCGGCCTCCCAAAGTGTTAGGATTAACCTCATGAACCACCGCGCTTGGCCCAAACTTCTGTAAACCAAAAAAAATGTTGCTATATCAAGCCTGTAATCCCAGCACTTTGGGAGGCCGAGGCGGGCGGATCACGAGGTCAGGAGATCGAGACCATCCTGGCTAACATGGTGAAACCCCGTCTCTACTAAAAAATACAAAAAACTAGCCGGGCGTGGTGGCGGGCGCCTGTAGTCCCAGCTACTCGGAGGCTGAGGCAGGAGAATGGCGTGAACCTGGGAGGCGGAGCTTGCAGTGAGCCGAGATCGCGCCACTGCACTCCAGCCTGGGTGACACAGCGCGAGACTCCGTCTCAAAAAAAAAAAAAAAAATGTTGCTATATGATAAAATTTATTTTTGGATGAAGATAACTTCTAAGGTTAGAAAGGTAGCTCCCTATCAGGCACTCGGTACACATTCACTGGCTGAAGGTGAGGAGTGAGCGCTCTCTTTAGGGGCGGTTTGTAAAGAGGCCTCCTCCCAGACCTGAGTCAGTGGGAGGGATCCAACCACCGGCCGGCCGTGCTCACCTGTCCTCGAAGCACACCGTGCACTTCCAGGCATGGGTCCCCCTCAGGAACACTCGGCAATGGGCGCACACGCGGTGGCTGCAGCCCCGGCACACGGCGCCCCGGTGCAGCAGGAGCCCCAGCACCCTCTGGCAGCGCGCACAGCACTTCTCTTTGTACTCCTGGTCCGTGCTCTTCGCTCCTTTCCACCGGAGATGCTGCAGGTGCGTTTTCAGTTTCCTGCAGCCCACAAAGTTAAAGAAGATACTATTGGATGGAACACCCAACCCCAGGCTACAGGGCAAGAGCCCAGAGGGTATCCCCCATGGCAAGGGAAGGGGCTTTGGCATTTGACATCCCTGGGCTCCCACATGGCTGTGCGAACTGGGCTCCCACTCAATGTCTCAGAGTCGAGGCTCAAGGGTTTCCTCAACCGTGAAACAGGCGAGGTAAGGTACGACCTTACCTCTACTCCCAGGGTTGCTGTGAGGACTAAATGGCAAAGTATAAATAACATGCCTGGTGCAGAGAAGCTCCCCGCTAGATCCATCCCTTCCTGCCCAAAGGCTGTTAAGATAGTAAGCAAGAATAGTGAAACGAGAGGAAAAGACACCGAAAACAGCATCCATTCCAATCTGCAAGGCATGGAACGATCCAGAAATACACAGCATACATCCCTGCTATTGGTATAAGTTACCCAATAAAATCAACTGATGCTATGCTTTTGCTACGTTTTTGTTGTTGTTGTTGTTTTAATGAGTGGTCAGCTCACTCCCCTAGACAAATAGCCATAGTGCAAAGAGACATTGTATTGGACCAAAAAGGCGTCATTTACCAGGATACTCTTTTATGAATGTCTGTGATACCTACTTGTAGAAGAGATGAGCCAATCCCAAGAAACAAGATGACATCAGAAATGCACTTTAAAATGCAACTTTCAGGATCTACCCTAGAATTAGTACCCTTTGAGATACAACTTCGTTACCACTATGTCTATGTCACCTTGTTAATATTCAAAATGATGTCTCTAAATCACTGAAAGATCTTTCATCATCAAATAAAATTTCACTTTTCTCACTGTATTGTAGTTTTTTATTTTCTTTTTCTTTCTTTTTTTTTTTTTTTTGAGACAGAAATCTCGCTCTGTCACCCAGGCTGGAGTGCAGTGATGCGATCTCGACTCACTGCAAGCTCTACCTCCCGCGTTCAAGGGATTCTCCTGTCTCAGCCTCCCCAGTACCTGGCATTACAGGCACCTGCCACCATGCCCAGCTAATTTTTGCATTTTTAGGAGAGACAGGGTTTCACTATGTTGGCCAGGCTGGTCTCGAATTCTTGACCTCAGGTGATCTGCCTGCCTCAGCCTCCCAAAGTGCTGGGATGACAGGTGTGAGCCACCGTGCCCAGCCTGTATTATAGTTTTTAGCGGAAGAAAGTTTACAAGTACACTTAGAGAGCTCTGAAGTAACAGAGAGGATGAAGCAAGAATACTATACCAGAAAATTCCCCTCACTCCTCAAGCATTTGGTTGTCCAAAGTTTTGTTTTCTAATGTGTTCTGCCATTAGAAACCAAACCCTCACTTCCTCCATAGACGCTGATAAAAAGCGCCAACCTGTTTAAAGATGGATCTTGACAGCTAAGGCTGAACGCGGCTCTGATAGAGTTCAGCACACTTTTCTAAATGTTAACCCATATCAAACGGCCCAGGCAGCTTAGAGACAGACAGGGAAGAAGTTCCCTGTTGGCAAACCGGTCAGGAAACAGGCTAAGCAGGTTCATATTTTATGCTCTCCCCCCTTTCCTCAAAGCCAGCTGGGAAGCAAAAGCAAGCAAAGAAAAAAGACAGTGCTGGATTCCATCAGATTTGCTGCTTCTGAACTGCTTTCTTTGCTTTTCTTTACACCTTCAGGCACCGTCAAAAATGAGGTAGGAAAACCCTTAACCCGAGGTCTTTCCCTAAATAAGTGGTAAACTAGAAGCCTGAAAATGTCCCTTGAATGATTCCCACCAAGTCGGCAAACAGACAAGCAGATGGCAAACAGCAAACTCACCGCCCAAACGCACTGTTTTAAATGAATAACAAGAGCGGCCTCCCTTGTCCCAGGCATCCTCTACGTTGAGCTACATAAGGAGGATCATCTCCACCAACAGCCCTTTGTTAGGACCCTTCTCAGTCATGAAGCCCAGCAGCAGGTGGGTAGCGATTTGGAAGCAAGCAGCATCAGAGACGGAGTGGCAGGCCCCAAGCAGAGAAAGCTAAAACCCCAAGTGACCCCACGGGAAGGACAGCCTACCGTATCCTCTCCTCCTCTGCGTTTTGAATCTCCTGGTCTCGGTACAGGACCTGGAGAATGGCCTCGCGTTCTAACTCCTTGAGAGCATTCAGATCTACTTCTTGGGCCATTTCTTCTTCCTTTTCGTTGACCCAGGTTGGAAGAGCTTCACTCCATGGACCAAGCGCTCACGCCCTGCAGATGAGCAGCGGAGGCCAGCTGCAGCTAGCCTTGTTTATTTTTTTTATTTTTTTTTTTTTTTTCTGAGACGGAGTCTCGCTCTGTCGCCCAGGCTGGAGTGCAGTGGCCAGATCTCAGCTCACTGCAAGCTCCGCCTCTCGGGTCTACGCCATTCTCCTGCCTCAGCCTCCCCAGTAGCTGGGACTACAGGCCCCCGCCACCTCGCCTGGGTAGTTTTTTGTATTTTTTTAGTAGAGACGGGGTTTCACCGTGTTGGCCAGGCTAGTCTCGATCTCCTGACCTCGTGATCCGCCCGTCTCGGCCTCCCAAAGTGCTGGGATTACAGGCTTGAGGCGCCCCAGGTTGGAAGAGCTTCACTCCATGGACCAAGCGCTCACGCCCTGCAGATGAGCAGCGGAGGCCAGCTGCAGCTAGCCTTGTTTAAAGAGCTCCCTCTCCTATTTCACTGGCGACTGTTTTGCTTGCGGCTCTTTTTTCCTTTTTAACTGTGTCATACTCCTTAGAAGAAGAAAGCCTCAAGAGGTTGTGCGTTTGTCGGAGTTACAGCTCGCAGAGCCTTGTGCCACCCGGGGGTGTCTTCACCGGGTTCTGCTGCAGCCGCTGACATCCATCTAAGACAAAAGCGTATCTTTTTTCTGAGATTTCACCAGATAAATCATCCACAGCTGCAAGCAGATAATTTCTGCAAAGCAGAAGTAATCTTCAAGCCAAGGAAATTTACAAATAGCAATGAAAAGAGTATCAGTGACTCATAGAAGCTAACCTTCCACTTAAGATGTTTCCAGGTCAGCAGGAACCATCATTAAAAGCCCAACTCCTTCAATACCTGTAG